CCTGGTCCCTGTGCTTGCCAAAGCAGGCACTTGGTCCGCTAAGCTCAGAATTATAGTGATCCTGCTGTTTTCAGCCTCCCCAGCGCTGGGATTACAGGCATTCGCCACCATGCCTGGACTATGTGGCTGGCTCAGCACACCCTCGGGGCAGGACTGGTTCAACATGTGGACCAGGGTTTGAAGCCTGGTCCCTGTGCTTGCCAAAGCAGGCACTTAGTCTGCTGAGCTATCTCGCCGGCCCTTCCTAGTATCGTTTTATGTAAAGGTTAAAAAACAAAATGTTGGCTTATCTATAGGTTGGATGTCATATGTTATATATCATCAAAGAAGTAGAAACTGGAAACATCTTGTAATTCAGCTATGATAAAAGTACATTAATTTAAATTCTATAAATTCACAGTTATTACGTTAGAGAGTGACTGACGCTTAATTTTACTCAAACCTATTCTTTGTAGTTAATGCAAGTGATGGCTGTGCAATAATATGAACACAGGAACAGCAGTGTTTAAGCCATTAAAAGAATAATTAATTTTTCAATATCTTTTGAAACCTAATAGTTCTTTTCATATAATTAGTGAACATGTCAAACAAAAATCATTCTTTCTAGTCTTTCTAGCAGGACCCTAAAGAATAATCCTTTACCATACTCTGCTCCCATATTGAAGGACCCCCAGAATTTAAAATGAACACATTTATCCATAACACAGTCCTTGGTTTAGATGTTACCAACTGATCTTTTCCCTTCTACTTAGTTTCATGATTGAAGCTTAGCAGCACGGCCAGTCTCACCTGTTGGTATGTAGGAGGCTCCTGGACCCTGAATACAAGGTAGATTTATAAGCCAGGTGATTTTATGCTGATTGAGTCTTTATTTGACTATGTCCTGCCTTAAGAATGGATATGGTCTAATGACTGGGAAGAGGTAATGCACACTGGACAATTGATGTTTATTAATTAGGTATAACATGGAGTTGCCTCAGATCCTCTTTTGAACTGTGTTGTTGAGATTCTGGAATAAATTCATTGAAAAAAAATTGTTGAATACCCATCACCTATAAATAGCAAATTCTAAGTATTTATAGATGAAACAGATATGGCTCCTGTCCTGGGGTTTAGAGTCTAGCTGGGGGAACAAGAATAAAGCATAGACACAGTCTTGGTTACTTGTTTCATTGCTGAGACAAAATACCCGACACCCAAAGTTAAAGAAGAAAAGGTTTATTTAGCTCCCAGTTCACACAGGGTCAGGCCATAGTTAACTCCAAGGCAGATTGGCATGGCAGAAGAGAGACAGTCCATGGCAGAGCAGACAGAGCAGGAAACGGCGAAGCAGAAACAGCAATCCTCCCTTTCCCTTTTCTCCTATCTAGGCTACAGGTCCTTTTAGGTGGTGCCACCCAAACCAGGGTGCTCTTTCCAATTATCCCCACTCACAACTATGCTAAACCAATTAATGGACTGACCCAGTACCACCTACCCTTAATCCCAGTGTCACACACCACAATCCAGCCACCTCCCCAGCATCCTACCTACAAGAGCATGAGGCTTTGCAGGGAGATCTAGACACAAGCCACAAAGCAAACTGGATCTATAATTACAAATTGTGGTAGAGAAGTGCTGCAAAGGACAGGAATAGGATGGAAGGAGATAGTTTGGAAGGGATTACCTTTGTTATAATTTGTAAATGAAAGGTCTAGGTGAACACCAGACTTTGAGTTCTTGGAGTAATGTCTCATGAATTATCTGAGTTTTCTTTCAATCTGTGTAGGCAGTGGAGATAACAAGAATGTCTCAACCCTGAACTTCACCTGTATTACTTCCAAAATCAGTCTTGCTCAACCAAGACATCATGAATTTCTATAAGCCTGACAAATGGCCATCGAAATAGAAAACTGGCTGTAGGAGGATCTGAGTTCTTTAGGGAGTGGGAGTGATAAGTGTCTCTACATCAGTACAGCATTGGAATGGCCTTTGTGCTGATTCTTGGAAATCTATATTCCTCTAAATTAGAGATCTAACATCACTGGATCTCACCATTTCTCTTCTAAATTGAGGGAATTAAAATGAGAGAATCTTTGAGGTCCTTTTAGATTCAAAGTCCTAAAAGGTTGTATGACATAGTGAAAAAAAGTACACTCTGAAACAGAAATGCAAGAGTACAATTCCCAGCTCTTCCATCTACTAAATATGTGGGTGGGTCAGTTTTTTAACCACTCTGTGCCTCTATTCCAAACCCCAGTTGTAAGGCAGGGTATAATATTAGTGCCCACCATAGAGTGTGGTGAAAAATTTGTCCAATAAATTACCTAATGTAGTGCCTGTCTTGCTCCTGTCCTTAGTCCTGAAAGGTCATATCTTGTAAGGACTGGATTCCCAGGGACACAATGCACAAATAAATACAATATAAAGGTTGACTTAAAAAAAAAAAAAAGATGGTACATAGCTGGCTTGAGGGATCCTAGCTTTTTGAAGATTCTCCATACTGATTTCCATAGTGTTTGTACCAGCCTTCACACCCACCAACAGTGGAGAAGGGTTTCCCCCACAGTCCCTGCAGCATTGGTTATTGATAGACTTCCTGATCGTAGCCATTCTTTTTGGCTTAAGATGGCATCTCAGCATTATTTTAATTTGTATCTCTTGAATGACCAAAGGGAAAGAATTTGTTCAGTGGGAAGGAAAAACTAGGATGAAGGAAAAGGACGAATGAAAGAAGGGAAAAAGATATAATTAGGTACATATGCAGAGTAGTTTGGATAATTATATTGTCGATATCTGCTGGTCTTTTGAAAGAAGTAGTTAATGCTTAAACATTTTTTTCTCTTTTTCCTCTTTTGAATTTCTTATAACTTCTTTGTCATTGTTTTTTTTTTTCTTTAAATGAATCTTGCACATTTATGTCTGGTAATCTGAACAACCAATTTGAAGATAGCATCATGTAATACAGCAACCATTGCTGAATTCCAAAAAGAAAAAAAAAAAGAGGGTAAATAATAAAAAAGTTTTAACTGTATCACTGCAAAAGGCATACTGCTTTTAACCCCTGTCAAAATACTCCCTCTTCCTTTGAGTGCTTTCATCCCATGCTTCATGACTCTGTCTGAAGCCACTCCAGGACTCCTCTTTCTTGAATGTCTGTGCTTGCATGGATCTGGCTGCCCAGCACACGGAGCAACTCAAAGCGTTTACTTTTTCATAGTCATTTTGATTTAGGGGAAGAGCCAGAAGTTTCACGGTGCCAGAGAGTGAATAAGACACAGCAATGTTTTCATTTGACAGAAACTACTGTAAACATTTGTTCAATGAGGTGTAGTCAAAGAATACGATGAACGTTTCAATTAAAATGTAAAGGACACACCGTCTTGAATCTCTCTGGAAATACTCCCCTCTTGCTTCAAAGGCACTGCTCCTGTTATTCTTGCCGCCTTCTGAAGCACTTATGGAAGTCTTTTTCAGATATTCTGTTCTGCTGCTCCTGATGCCCCAAATCAAATGAAAAAAGAAAAAAAAATTGGCATTTCCTGGTCATTTTGACTTTGGGGAAGAACCAGAAGTCACGTGGTGCCAGATCCAGTGAATAAGGGGGATGAGGACACATAGTAGTGTTTTTATTTGACAGACATTACCATAAACATGTGTTTAGTGCAATGTGATCAAATAATATGGTGAATGTTCAAATAAAAATGTATTACAGTAAAAGACACTCTCAGAATACTAGAAACACTCCCCTTACTTTAAATATACTTATCCCGGCCTGGGGAGATAGCTCAGTAGTCTAAGCACCTGCCTGGCAAGTGCAAGAACCTGGGTTCGATCTCTGGTACTGCATTCCTTGCTGGTCCCACAACCCGAGGCACTGAGTGCTAGCCACTGAACCTGGCATGGTGGTGCACGCCTGTACTACCAGTGCTGGGGAGGCTGAGACAGCAGGATCCCTATGAGTCTGAGCTGTGTAGTGAGATCCTGTACCAAATAAATAAATAAATAAATTTTTAAAAATCCACACTTCTCCCATATTCTTGGCAAAGTATCCTTTCCTGCAATAAGTTCTTTTAAATTTAATCATTTTCTATCCTCTTTGGTCACCCACTGTAATGTGTGGGACCAAAGTGTTCACACATCCACAATTCCTACCAAGCCTCCTTTTATTTCAAATATGTTTTAAACATTCAACTTTTTATTGCTAGAACAGGGGCCACCACCATAGGGTGCCTTAATCTTATGCCAGCAGGGAACCTCGTCCCTAGGATGCAGGTAGTAACGAGGGCCCTGGACACCGGTACCCACAGGATATTAAACTGGAGCTCACTTCCTATTGCTTTTACACCTGCAGCTAGGACAGCAAAGCAGCAATAAATGCTGTTACCAGGGAAGCTGAAGGTTGGTGCTTTTCACATAATGAGTTTGTGTTCTTTTTAAAGTAATATGATGAGACCTCATAAATTAAACTTGAGGATTTTTCAAATCATGAAAATTTTATTTAAAAAATGTATAAGCCTTAACTTCAGTTGTCTGCTGAGGAAATTCTGCTTTCATGAAGTTCATACAAACTTGGAGTAATCAACAAGTTTCTCTATTTCTTAATGTACCTAAATCTCTAAATTATACAACGTTTGTTTGTTTGTTTGTTTGTTTCTTAGAAGTTGTTTTATTTTTCATCAGCCTCATTCCCATTTTGCTTAAGCATCGGCAGAACAGCTCGAGACCACTCGGTGGTGTTTCCTGCCCACTCAGTGGCCTGCGGGTGAGGGCTGCAGACCGATTTTCTGTGGCCGGCTGAGCACTCCAGTCTTCAGTAGGGAACTGCTGAACGGGCAGAGAGGGCACCTGCATGTGCTCAGACCAGTCTGCGGCCTCAGGCTGAGCAGCAGTGAACTCCGGAGCTGGTGCATCCATTCACCCTGAAATTCCTCCTTGGTCACAGCCTTTTCAACAGCAACCTGCTCTTGCTTTTCAATCTCTTCTGGATCCGGGTAGAAGTAGAGATCAGTCATGACTTCTCACAAGTGTTCACGGGAGATGGTGCCACGCATGCGCAGCACTTCCCGGGCCAGCATCCACCACATCAGACCCACAGAGTGAGCTCCCTTATTGCTGCACGGGATGGCAATGTCCACATAGCGCAGAGGGGAATCTGTGTTGCACAGAGCAATGGTTGGCAGATTGACGTAAGATGCCTCCGTTAGGGGCTGGTGGTCAGCCCTGGGGTCAGTAACCACCAGAAGACGTGGCTCTCGGAAGGCTGCCTGGATCTGGTTAGTGAAGGTTCCAGGAGTGAAGCGGCCAGTGATAGGAGTAGCTCCAGTGGCAGCAGCAAACTTCAGCACAGCCCGCTGGCCGGTGCTCCTGGAAGATATGACGCTGACATCAGCAGGGTTTTCAATGGCCGCTATGGCTCGAGCTGCCAGGAGAAGCTTGTCTCTAGTCTGCTTTAGATTTATGATGTAGATCCCATCACTTTTCCTTTTATAGATATACTGCACCATCTGGAAATCCCGGTTGGTGCCACCCAAGTGGGTTCCTGCCTCAAGGAACTTGAGGACGTCCTCCTTCATTTGCAGGACATCAAGGGCTCCGGACACTGTGAAGTTTCCCTTTAAGTTACAATGGGAATCAAGAGCAACACCGTATGGACCCTACCTGGGCAGCATGGAAAGGCTCAATAGAATAAGCGCCTGCCTGGCAAACACAAGAGCCTGAGTTCAATCCCCAGTTCCACAAAAAAAAAAAAAAAAAAAAGTATGAGTTTAGGGGCTTTTCTTTGTACTATTTTCTTCAACATTTTCGTGGTGCCACCTGATCTTCATGATACCATTATAAATTGATACTAAATATTTAATTAAGAATAAA